TCCATGAGAAAGTTGCAGTTAAGAAAAGAGGTCGTTTAACACCTGATATTCTAATATCTCAGCCAGGCATAAGCAAGAACAAGAAATATATTCGTAGCTTTAATTCTGAATGGTACAAACGGAAAAGTTGGCTTTGTGGGTGTGAAGTAAAAAATGCACGTTTTGCTTCCCGTGTTTGCTGCTTGGGGGTTATGTAACGTGGACAAAAGATGGTTTTAGAAATATAAACAAAATGAAAGAAAAAACTGAAAAGCATGAGAAGTCAAAGAAGCACGTTGATAATGCAGTTTCACTGTCACTTTTAGGAACCGTAAGTATTAAGGAGAAACTTAGTGAGGCATACAGACTTTCAATCAATGAGCATAATATAAAGGTTAAAAAGAATGGATTTCATTTTTAAATGAATAGATTAAGCTTGAACTGTAACAATTTAGGTTAAAGTAAGTAAAAAATGTTTGATTTTGTTGATTTTGTTTCTGAATAAATTTTCTTTTTATACATGTTTGTTTCCTTGTATACAATTTTAAGACAAAGGCTACACATTTTCTGGAGCAGCACCCCCACTAATTTTAGCTACGAGCCGCCACTGGATTATTGTGATGTTAATCACCGCTCAAGTAGCAGTGCTGTTAGTCGTCCAATGGGCACAGGGTAGTGCGGAATTGTAATTGGACTGCTACCTGACCGTCGAAAGTGAGCGCTGTAATGCCTTATGCAGCAATGTTTCCCTTAATCGATGAAATGAAGTTATATAAACTGTGCACCTTGAATTTATAAAAAATTCCAACCTGGTACTGCAGATATGACTGTTCACAGTTTATTTTTCAATAGTCGATACTAACAAAAAGAATGTTTTTGATTATTTTTCATGCTTTCGTTACGTCAGCTTTGTAACGTGGAGTTTTTCTGAACTGTTACAGCCATTATGCATTTTCCACATGCCAGTTTCATTAACACTTAACATACAGTATTTTAGGGTTTATGATAAGATGAGGCATGATATTTCAACAGCATGTATGCTGGAATTTATTGCCATTCTCTACATTTTAACCAATTAAAACACAGTGGATACTGCTTCATCATTCAGTTCTCTGCATTTTGTCTTCACGTTATGTATATGAATTTCCTGTGTTTCTCACATAAACAGCTTCTATTTCCAGAAATAGCCTGATGTCTGTAATGGAGATGCAATGTATTTTCTGTGAGGCTGGAATTGAATTTTTAAATATGAGCTGAAGTTCATATTTCGGAAGATAATTCCTTCCGACCTGCATCATTTAACTAGTACGGAGGGCACACATGCACCATACCATACCGAGATTAAGCTCAATGCACTACGTACATAGTACATTTATATGAAAAAAATATTCCGCTTTATGGTTCTAGAGGTACTATTCCATTTACTACTTTACCTCAAAGAATTTCAATTTTATGCCAGACGACATTCCAAAATATTTTGATGTTAGAGTACAAATAAACCTAAATTCAAAGACAAATTAAACACACTTTCAATGCACTAACAAAACGAAACCAACGTTCCGTTGGAAGGGAATTGAGCGAATCGTGTCCACGAGAATTAGTGCAGCATATTCACAGTGCAGAAGTGTGGCAGAATCACGTGGTAGCCGGTTGTGTGACTTGTTCCGTGGGTTCCGTGGTCACAGACGGTCACGGAGTATTAGGTGAAGGACGGTGATCGCCGNTGTTAGTTTATTTGTATTATAATGATTCTGTAATAATTTGTTAGAAGGATGAATATGGTTCTTATGAACAGTATCATAAGGTGGTGCTACGATATTTCATCGAAATCGTATTTCTGTATTTTAAGCATCTTTCGGTGTAGCTTAAAGAAGGACCGTAGAATTTCAAGAGGCTCTGAGTGTACTGTGATTGTGTTATAATTTTTGTATTTTTTCTTGCAGGATAAATGGGAAGAATAGGAGAATGTTTTGCTCCTGGGTGCGTGTCATGCCGTGATCCCGCCGGAATCAAATTATTCTGTTTTCCCAGGGATTCAGCACGGTATGAGCCAGATGTAAAATATTATAAAACATACTATAAGATTTTTGCCAGTGTTATTAAAGGAGCTAAATATCTTCATTATAATTAATTTCTAATTCTAATAACAAAATAAAAACCACCTCATTCATTCATTCATCCTTTTATTAATCCTGTGAATCATGATACAGGACAAGTCTTTCAGCTAATATACATTGTTAAGTTATAACAA